GGAGTTGTACAATGTCGTCTCAGAGGTGGCCTTCTAGGAGAGATCCAACTTGGACTATCTTCTTAGGGCCGTCGTCAAAGAGAGGTGCTTGGACGAGGTCTTCCATGTGTTGGCCACATTGTGTCCATAGTTCGTCCCTTAGGTCCATGTTTTCTATGGTGAGTGTATCGACGGAGTGTGGTCTCCCTTGGCAGGCCATTAAGTAGCATTGCCTCGCAGTTCTCTGGTTTCCACAAGCTACACTTACCCCATATGGGGTTGGAAACTTCATGGCCAGGTGGTACGTGGAGATTGAGGCCCGTAAAGCATTTAGTGTGGGCCGACCGAAGATTTCTGCTGGGGGAACTTGGGTTGGTGATGCGTCGGGGTGACACTCTTCTCCTTTTGGTTTGTACTCCTTGATGTCCACGAACCCGCCTAGGTATCAGTGTTGGATAAGGTCTTCAAAGTGATGGTGTAAGTCATGACAACTTTCGGTCTTGTGGTCGTGGTCTCGATGGAAGTCACAATAATTATCTCAGTTTCTTTTGTTGCTCTATGACTTCATCTTTTTGGGCCACTTAACGAAGTTGTGGTCTCGGATCTGCATCAGTATCTCAGCTCGTAGCGCATTCAAAGGAGTGAAGTTTTTGTATGTTGGTGGCGAGGTTCATAGTTTGATGTCAGGTTGGCGATCCTAACTCTTATTGTCCCTATTTGGTTTACACTCATCATGTTCTTTCCACTTCCGTTTTAGTTGTTCCTCTTCGCTCCTTTGTAATAGTTGGGCTTCTTCAGCGTTCTTGTACTTTTGTGCATGCTTCATAAGCGCGGTTAAATTGGGCAAAGGATTATTTTGAAACGAGAAGCTGAACATCGAGGACCACAATCCACTCATGATGGCCATCACTACCACAGACTGGTTTAGGGCTCGAACCTAGAGGGCCTTAGCATTGAACCTTGCCAAGTACTCTCTTAAAATTTCTCCTTCTCTTTGTCGAACTTGCATGAGGTTGGTTGATGTCTTCCAGTGTCTTTGACTGGCAGTGAACTGCACGAAGAATTGCGTCTCCAGCTACTCCCAGGAGGAGATGGGTTGTGGGGTAAGGGAGGCGTACCATGTCTTGGTGACTCCATGGAGTATGGCAATGAAGGCCTTGCACATGAAGCCTTTGGAAGAGCAATGCAGCATCATTATGGCCTTGAACCACTCAATGTGATCGTTTGGGTCCGATGTTCCAACATACTTTTCAAAAACTGAGGGGGTCTCCAACCGGCTGGAGGGAGCTCATCAATGATCTCCTAGACAAAGACAGTTTCCTTTGCAACTTGATTGTAGTGTTGTTCTAAGGGCTGAGTTGTTGGGGGAGTAGTGCATATGTCTTCTTGGCTACACTCTAGTTCGGCCAAGCGCTCTTTTAGCTCTCGGATCTTGACGCCTTTGTCGGTTGGGACCATGTTTGTGGACTTCTTTCCTTTTGGTATTGTAGGATGATCTCGAAGTGAACTAGATTCAGCTATCGAGATTGGCGGTTGGTGTAGACGTTGACCGAGCCGTTCTTTCACCGACACTCGGGCGGAGTGATAAGATCTACTGTGGGTATGGTGTGCATGAGGCTGGGCTGGGGAGTCGGATCTTCTGGATGGTTGTGGTTGCTCGCAGTCAGGCTAGGCCTTGTGTCTGTCTGCATGGTGCCTTTTAGGGTCCTCGACACGAGGATCGGCTATAGTAGGCACCTGCATGGCAGGGCGAGTAGCCTGGGGGGCTTGAGTTGGTTGCCCCAGTGTCTCCATCATTGCTAGGATGCGATCGACTTTCTACTGCATGGCTTGGAACTATGAAGGGTTGACCACAACCTTATGCTAGTGAAAGAATGGTAGGATCCATTGTATGGACGCCATAAAGATTGCGGAATGGGTGGGCGAATTTCAAAAATTTTCCTACCTTCTTCCAATTGGGAATCATATTCCCTAAATTTAGAATACAATATTCAAGAATCCTACTTGAACCATAATCGAACCTGATTTGAACCAAAGACAAGGGAGGGATTATACCTGATCTAGAGAAGCAGTATCTCCCAAAGTTGGTGTTCACGCCCAAAGAGGACACCAAGATCCACTTCTGCTAAAGATGACACAGTAATAGGTGGAACGGAACCAGCATAGTGCGTCCTACACACTGAGTCCCTCGCAAGAACCCTCTAGAAACTCTGAGCACCAAATCTTTTCAGTCTTTTCTGCAAAACTGATGTCAAGAACTGATTTCTTGATTTCTTTCTTCTTCAAAGATCGAATCTTGTCAGAAAGAATAGTGGCGGCTGGAGGGGAACTCCTGAAGTGAAGATGACTGAAATCGTTTCTCTTTGGAGTGTGTATGAGATCCAACCTCAATTCACAGGATGTTCTCTTGCACACAAACCCTTAGTTCGAATTCTGTTGTTGTTCTCTTAGGATTTCTCCTCTTTTCTTCTTGATTAAGAAACCTCCTAAGGAGGAGTTATCCCAATCCAAATCAGTATTTGGATAGGGG